ATCTAGCAACTCATACGTCGTCTTCCTGCTATTCAAGTTTCGAGGATTTTTCCAAGTTACAGCTCGACTAAGGACCCTTCATCTACACCGCAAGCTTCACAAATGTAATGAGTGCGCGGAAATGTGTGTGAGTGAATGAACTTTAATCGGACTTTTAAAAAGACTTTCGCCGAATGATACGATCAGTCAAAATAACGCCTGTGTGACCAAGTCCGTGGGTTTGAGCACGCGCGCCGCTGAAGCTTTGAAGTGCCGGCAAACCAATAACTGCCACTGTTGACATGTGTTTTTTAAGATGAAACGGCTGACACGATGGCTGAAGATCCAATCAAGCAGCTGATAGAAACCCAAGCCGAGGAATATAAACACCAGATTGAACTCTTATCAGAAAGATATGACGAGCGAGAAAAGAAAATGTTGACGGAAATACGAGACCTCCGAACCGATGTACGAGACCTTCAAACAAGGCTAGAATCCACCCAAAAAGAATTGGTTGTATTGAGAGCCGAACTGCCGAAGCTGAAACGACAGATTAAGCAATTAAGTGATTATCAGTCTAGCATTAAAATCCTAGAAAAGCGTGTCAATCATTACGAAGAAAATAATCGCCGTGACAACCTCGTTATCGATGGCATGCCCGAAGATGACAGCGAAACTGTGGAGGAAACCCAAGTCAAAGTCATTGCCTTGTTATCGGAGAAGCTGGGTCTCCCCGCGACGACAGCCCTGCAGGCGCGTCGCATCGGGAAGGGTAGCGCCGGCAAGTCGAGGGCGGTCGTGGTGCGCTTCACCGAACGCCAAGACCGAGAGGCCGCCCTCAGGAATGCCAGCAAATTGGAAGGAACCAACATTTTCATCAACGAGTATTTCTACCCGACAGCGAGGAAGCAGCGAGAGGCTCGTCTCTACCAGCTAAAGCAAGGCAGGAGGCCGAATGGATCCGTCATCGCGCCTCTTGCCCAAACTACTTTCCCGCCCAAACTCGATGCGAAAACTACCTCCCTCCACCCACCCCCAACGCCCGCAGGCCCTGTCACCGGATCTTCCGTAGAAATCGAACAAGACAACGACTGCTCGGAGGTGCGATATTCTTTCTTATCAAATTCTGTATGTTGCACACTAGCATGCTAGATCGGTGGTATCAAACGGGTACTTCTATTTAAACTCCAATAACTCACAGACTCTCCACTTTTATAATTTGTATAATAATCGGATTCTCTTCCAGAAACTAACTTATAATCCCTCTCAATGCCTTTTTGTTATTGGAATTCAATCCCCTTTGTCTCACACGCTCCGAACACCCGGGCACACACTACTCTAATCTCGAACCGAATTCCAGCTACACTTCTTCCTGGTCACTACACTAACGCACCTAAATTATTTATCTCATATCCATTAATATTTGATGCATGCAGACAAATTTCGTAACTGTCATTATACTTGTTGAATTGCCTTTTCAATCAGAGTTTTTGGGTTTGTGAAACCAAAATAGAAGAGGAATTCTCACAGGTTCCCTGACGAACTGCACGGGCTGCCATACTTGCAAACGATGACTAATATTATCGACCGAACCTGATCAATATCTGTGGAAAACTGAGTGCTTCTAAATTTGGAGACTTATGCACTGTGTGACCATTCTCACAATTTTCTTACAGGTAGTGTATGCTAATGAGTTTAATTTTATTAGTTTGATATACATGCACCTCAACACTAACTCGAATTTATCTATTCAATCTGTACAAGGTAATGCTGAACAAAACACTCACTATTTCATTAAGCGATTGGCACTTGAATCATCTCAAGTATGGACATGGCTCGCGTGCTCAGTAATTGTATATCCAACATACCAACATACCAACATACCAACCCAGATCATACCAGACTCCTCCACACTGATAGGCAACGTCATAACCGATTTGTTCTTGTGATTCGTTAATTCTACACATCTCTGCCACGGATCATTTCTACTTAAAACATTCCTCGCCCTATACCTAAAATACACAACTTTCCAGATCACCCTATAGCAATTGAGGGAATAATAATGACCTAAATAATAACATGGCTAATTATATCTTTTTAGTCACCGCTTCATCAAACGCAAATTAGTCATAAACGTAATTCAATAATCCCCTCATAATTTCTCCAATCAGTCTCAAGTGACCTACGATTAAAAAAAGAAAAAAAAAAATACAGGAACTTCTTGAATGCATTAGTAAAAAAAATCAAGGAGTCGTCACTGGATCACGATTAGACAACGCTATCAACTTAAAACAACTACTATAATACTCCAAGAAACATACACGACAGAAATCAAAGCAGAACTAAATCACACGTAGGTCTTTTTGCGATAGATAGAGACGATTCGATAATTACATTTGAGAATTAAACAGCATTTTTCTTATCAGTGAAGTACTACATTTCCAATATTCTCCCTAGATTCAAAACTGTAATGGAATTTCTGGATGCATTTTTTTTTGTCTTTTTACCATCTGGCACGCTA